CGACTCGAAATCAACGGCAATAAAACGAAAGTAATAGTATTCCAACCAAAAGAGACGCAACTAGATCTAAAGATCAAGGATAAGTCTATAGAGTGCGTTAGATATTACAAATATCTGGGAATCTGTATAGACAGCAACTTAAACTACGGTACGCATGTACGAGGCTTGAAACACAAGATCAAAGATCGACAAAATATGCTGAAAGTCATAGGCAACATAAAGAAGGGAGCGACTCCAAAAGTAATGATACTGTTCCATAAAGCACTATACGATAGCTTCCTCCGGTACGGCAGCTCGGTCTACGGCAGCACATCTAAAACCTACCGGAACGACTTAGACGTAACACATCGACAATGTCAACGCATAGCTACGGGATGTTCTAAGACTACACCGATCAACACCTTGGCTGCCCTAGCAAATGAGGAGCCACTAGAACTGCAGCGGTACTATTGGACAAAGAAGAGAATATCATCCCACTTTCGTAAACAAGATGCAGTATATCATCAATTAATTTCACTAGAAAACAACGATACAGCTGGAAACAAGAGATTCACATTCATCGAGAAAGTCTACATTGAAAACGCGATTGAAGTTAGCAGAATCTACGAGCAAGTCACGGCAGAGACTGCATATGATGTCACGATTCGGCACCAAATTGAAGGAATGCCTATCAATAAAACTAAAATGGCTCCATCTACTATGCGACAAATCACCCTGGAATACATGAACAAAGAGTACCCTCTATGGCGAAGGGTATATACGGACGCCTCGAGAACAGCGGACGCTTGCGGAATAGGAGTTTACGAACGCGAGACCGGAATGGACATAAGTCTTAAGTTAGAACAACACTCCAGCATCATGACGGCGGAACTCGTTGCCATACGGATTGGCCTAGAAGAAATTTCAAAATTAGACAGAGAGAACACTGTGATACTCACCGACTCGCAATCAGCCTGTCTGCTATTGGAAAAACATCAGGAATGCAAAACTTGGGACAGTCTAACAGGAGCAATCTGCAAGGAACTGCAATCAACGGGCACTATACTACAATGGATCCCTGGCCATGTGGGCCTAGAGGGCAATGAAGCAGCAGATACTTTGGCCAAAGCAGGACTAAACAATGATGCGGTTATCGTCAACAAGCTCCTCTGGAACGATGTGGTACTTCGCTATAAGAAGCAGCTAGCAGAAGCTACAAATGAGTGGTATACCAACATCGTATTCACTCAGAATAAAGGGAAGAAATTTTACGGTTTGTTCAACTGTTTTCCTGGAAGACCGTGGTTCTGGAACTCGGAATTCAACGGTGAAGAGGTGCGAACACTCAACAGGATTATGGCCGGTCACGATTTTTCGAACTACTGGCTGGCCAAAATGCGGCTGGTAGAATCAGAAGAATGTGATCTTTGCGATGAAATTGACACAACGGAACATTTGCTATTAAACTGTATAAAGTACACCCACATTCGAAACTACTTTGATTGAGAGGATCACAGACGTATACAAGACCTAGTACGTGACAAAGAAGGAGTAAATAACGTAGAGTTGAAAAACATAATAAAATTCATCCGAATGGCAAGAATAAATCCGTAACGGCTAGGTAACGACTAACCATCACAGCGACTGGCGTTTATGAGGCACAGCCTCGGGCCAACAAATCGAAACTCCAACAACAACCACAATTTCTGGCGTTTATGAGGCACAGGTCCTCGGGCCAACAAATCGAAACTCCAACAACAACAACAATTTCTACACTCGGGTCGCGTGATAACCTCACTCTCTCCCGGAAGAACTTCGAGGGATGCAAGATCAGCGAACGAAATAATATTGGGTCGAGCGATAACTTCGCTTTCCCCCACCTGGACATCGCGGGAGGCAAGGTACCGCAACAGAAGGGGTCGCATGATAATGTCATACTCCCGCCGTCGGATCACAGGACACTGGCACCTGATAAGGCCTCGGGCAGTCGGGGCTCCACCAGTACGGAAGATACAGGCCATCCGAAACTGGTGGTTTTCCCCCGGCGTTCTTTGGCAAAGTCCATAGGCCATTGCCGCACAACCACGTATCCTACGAAAAGATCTATCCAGTTGACAAGCAACAATCCCATCCCTCAGGATGTCCGCTCGGACTCACGAAGATACGACCAGTGGAGAGCTAGTCTGGGTGACTTCTCCGTAGCATCTGCAGGTCCTTCACTGGCCCGTCCTATTACCCAGTGGCTCCGGTATCTCTGCCGACAGTGGGGTCACCACCAACTGCTTCTGCCGGTGAAGCTCTACTGGGGTCCGCTTCCAAGCTGAAAGCACCGACACCAATATCATCCAGATCACGAAGCAAGAAGGCTAACCCATTGCATGCGAGTTCCTCTTTGATGCCTCCCTCCGGTATGCGAGTTGATTCCAGTCCCTGTCCAGCACAATCGTCGACTGCCCAGAGCCAATCGCCTCCGGCCAACATTTCGCCAAGAGATGCTTACTCCTCGGATTATTCGTCACCTATCACGCGACACCCAACTTTCGGAAGCCCCAGAGGATGTACTTTGGCAATCCAATGGAACATGAAACCTTTCGGACCTAGAAATTCTTGTGCGAGACAGCAAGCCCACCATCGTGGCAATCCAGGAGATCCACCGGACTAGTGTCGGTAAGATGAACCGTGCTCTTAAGGGTCAATATCAATGGATCCTTAGGAGGAACGAAAACATTTTGATATCGCTCTCTGACAATATCGATATCATTTCGCTATCGGATTATGAGTATCGATATCCAATTTTTAATGGTAAATACATGAAACATATTTAATTCTCTTTCAACAGCATAATGCATTTCTTCTTCTTCTTCTTCTTTCCTTTATTTAACGTCGGTTTCTGTTCCGCAATCTAGTGCCAATCACCTACGGACATCGATTGCCATCCATTGACGGCAATCGAATGTGCAGGAAGGCAGCTTCCACACCTGCGTAGGATATCGCACCCATTCAACAACACACATGGGCCGGGACCAACGGCTTTTCTTCCCTTCCGAAGGAAGACGTGACCAGAGATTTTAATGCCTCAGAAAAATCCCACCGACCTCGGCTGGGATTGAACCCAGACCCATCGGGGTGTTAGAAAGCAGTCACGCTTACCACTACACCACCGGCGCCGGCTCATAATGCATTTGGAAAATCAAAAACATCGACATTACACAAACAAACATATTCTGTCCACTAGAGTGATGCAAAATTTGAAATTTTCGCTCCACAATACTTAAACGATTCCAAATCGGATCCTGACTAACCTCTCAAAATTTGAACCCATTTGGTGAGAAACTGAGATGGCACAAACCATTTGAAGTTTGTATGGGAATTACTATGGTAAAACCAAGATTTTTGTTCATGTCTATCTAATAATTCACCATTTCGGTCTGCTTCGAAAGCTTTCAACTGTACTTCTAGGAAATTTTCCCAGCTACAACTTTGCTAAAGACCACTTTTTAATTAAATGCAAGAATCGAAAGTTATCAATGGTTCAATGCGCTGATGTCTTATGATCATGCTCAATCAACTGCTCAGCAGGCAACATTGGTGTTTCTGGGGCGTTGAATAGGACACAAAAATCATGGCTACTATGTCACACTGCGAAATACAGTGTTGCCTACAGAGCAGCTGCTTGATCATGGCATAAGTTTACCAATCTCTTAAATAATTAATAACTTTTTCCTGTCTTGTTTTACATAGAAACGATCTTCAGCAAAGTTGTAGCTGAGAAAATTTTCTATAAGAATGGCTATCGAACTGTTTCGCAGCTCAATATGGAAAAAGACTAAAAGGCAAAGAACAAAAAGTTGAGACTTCCCATAGTAATTTACATATAAACTTTCAATGGCTTGTGCGAAGTCTGTTTCTAACCAAATGACTTGTAACTTTGGGAGGCTAATCAGGACCCGATTTGAAACCATTTAAGCACTGTGGAGCGAAAAAGCCAAATTTTGCATCAGTCTACTGTCCACTCTTCGAGGCTACATCGCTCAAAATACACCGTGTTTCGAAAACAAACGCTCCCAAGGCTTATAATATTTGACAGATGTTTCAGAGCCACCTGGAACAAACATGGAAACGTACTCTTCTTACTTGTCCTATTTATGATAAGTACCGAAAAATGGCACATGTCATTAGTTCGACACCACTCCTCACGTACCCATTGTATACATATCAATTTCTGTACGAGGTGTGCCGTCCACTTCGGTTATTATTGCGTTGAAACATTCACTCGTGATTACTCCATACCAAATTAGCGGTAGAGATCTTTCTCATTGGTCGTCGCGAATAAATTCTTCCAGATCCTTCAACTGGAGATAGAACCACCAATGATAGAACCATGTCGATGAATAGAACATCTGACCGATATCGAATTTTGATTATCGTTGATTCTCAGAACAAAGGAGCTTTTCCCGCTCTAAAGCAACGTACCGTGGAGACACCATATTCGAAGCGGTTTCTAAATTGACGCACTCAATAATGTTCGACTATTTTCAATAATTTTTTCTTTAGAAATGTTACTTCTTTAAATATTAGTTCCTGTGCTCTAGGGATGACGGTGTTACAAAGATGGTGTAACAAGATGCGATAAAAATTAGACGAGTGCGTCATAATTAGGGACGCGACGAATATGGTGCTGGCATGGTTGTAGCAATAGCGGATATTGCATAGCCCAGTCACTTACATACAAGATACAACAATACAAAACAGAGTTTTGAACTCTAGCACAGTGCATCTAACCCTGGGGTAGTCTGTCTGATATGAGCTCGATCATTATGGTCTTACTTTCATTGTCTGCACGTTTTTCTTTCTTATCGGAAATAGGACTACGTCAGTATTGCTTCAACCAATTAGGCCGTATCTTACGTTTTGTTTGATAACATTCTTATCAGCCGATACGGGAGCACTGCCTAACCAATTCAAGGTATTTGAAGAAAAGAAAAACAGCACTCGAAATTACTGCTGCTTCAGCATTCGGAGAGGTAAATTCAAATCCGGAGGTTCTATAGAAATATAGTCGAATAGGATAAATTACGCAAAATGACGACAGAATCTACTGCAAACCTTACGGAAAGGATGGAACCAACAAATGAACGAAACAACGAAGCAACGGAAGAAAACAAAAATACAGAACAAGTAGATCTGAGTTTGGGAGATCTGGTAAGTTCAGCTGATCCATGGTAGGTACAGAGGAATTGTGGAACTTTTTTTCCCCCATAGGTTCAATCCATTAGCCGGCTGGATTTGAACAGCTATGCAACGAGGAAATCATTTGCCCAAGGAATGCTGGATTTGGCTTTGCTGACGGCTAATGCATCGCAGTTGAAGTTTCTTCTCACGGTTGGCGTAGCTCACGAATTCTATCATCTTCTACTGACACTTGTGATTGTATCGATATCGCTGCAGGTATTGAATCAATAACAATACTTCAAAACATGATTAATTACAGACATTGATATCTCTTGTGCAGGTTTTCCAAGCAGTTATGATAATAATACTGGCCATCGTTCTAGACATCAACAAAGTTGAGCAACACAAAAAGTCGGAAATTCTCAACAATTTGCTGATAATTTTCACGGTGATAAGTGTAGTGATAAATGTGATAATTAGTGCTTTCGACATGAGATCACAAGGTGATCTTCTACAAATAAGTAACTGAATATATATATAATAATAGGTTGATTAGATAAGACGAAATAATATAGACTACTTATGAGTTCTTTTGCGTCCTTAGAAAAAAAAGATCGTTTGATTTCCCGGAGTAAAACAGTTATCTTTATTTGCTTTGATCTCTCAATCGTATTGAGTTATGAAAAATTCTAAATTTAACGATTCACGTATGACATTCTATCGCTATTAACGACGATTGAAGTTTGAGAATTTTACCATTTACGAACAGGTTACTTACCTTACTAAGAAAAGTCGACAACATCAAATGCACCAAATTGTTTAATTGTTAGCGAACGGTCCATGCACTGGCATTAGTTCCAGCTGATCGGATAAACGCTTCTGCTCCTCCGCAAGACGATATGCATCGTCCCGTTCCTGCTTTGTGAGCGGGCGGCGTTTCAGCCTGGCAGCCATGATCTTTTTGTAGCATTCGATGATCTGTAAAGTGGCCGAATGAGAGCATAATTCGTATTTAAAGATTCAGTCCTAATTACATCTTGATCAACTCGATCTAGTTTCCTCTTGACCTCGATTCGCTTCATCTCGTCCTTCGCCATCGATTGTAACTTTCGAATCTCGTTCGAATTGTACTCCGCTATCACTGCAATCTCCGTGCGAACGCGATTGATTTCCGACAAAATTTCGTCATCCTGTTGACTCTTGGGCATATCGTCGTCGTCGAGAATTCCCTGTTCGATCAGTTCTTTGCGCAAACGGCGCTCAATACTAATACCATTCTTTAGCAATGAAACTGCGCTTCTAGAGTTACTGTGTCCCACATCTGAGCTACTGTTGCTGTTTTCGTTGCTGGTACTATTACAATCAGGAAGCAAATTTTCCTCCATCAAAGCCGATACCAGACGCTGAGTCAGCGGACCGGTGATTCCTTCACCCCTGTGAACGTGAAACAATCATTTCAGTCTAAACCAAATATCGCAATCATTGAAAACAACTTCTATACTTACATAACTTTCTCCTTTTTTCCAATATCTCCGTTTGTCAGTCCCTTTCCTTTCTTAGAACTCGAATCCTGCTCCTCCTTGATGTCATCCGCAGCCCACTGAGTGCTGTAATGTGGACCCAACTCCGGGATCGGTGGAATCAACGGTCCCGAATACTCCTCCAGCAAATCATCCAGCAATTTCAAATCTTCATGGGTAATTGGCATGCAGTATGGCTCGGCAGACATCCAAAATTTATTCGGAGTATCGTTCTTCGCTAGCAAGAGTTTGTTGTTATCGGAAATGATATGTTGAATATGATGGTTTGGTGGCAGGAATGGAACTGCATCGCTACTGTCGTCAGTGTTCTGCGATGGAGCCGGCGAAGGTGGTATTAATGATGACATATTTTTAATCTTGGACAGTTTCATGTGATGACCAAAAAGCTTTCCCGCGCTTTCACGCAATTTCTGTTTATCTTCCAGACGTTTCTTTTTGCCTGGTGAGCTTGGAGCTTTATCAATAAATTTGCCCTTCCTTTCACGACGTTCGTCCGCTTTGTCGATTGTCTCGATTTCACTTTTCAATACGCGATAGCGCAAAGCAACGGTAGAAAGTAGCAGTTCCAATTCCAACTGAATCATGTCCAAATCTTCTGCCGGTACCAAATCTTCCGTTGTGCTTGATAATGCTGAAAATAGATCCTCATAACTCATTACATCTTCGCACATTTTCAATTTAAACCAATTTACTCACCAGCAGTATACTTGGGCAATACCTTTCCGTTATCTGTTGTTTTAATATACGGAACCAATGGAACTTCTCCGGGTGATCCGGGTGAGGGTACTCCCGTACCCGCAACGGAAGCTAGTGCTTTTGCCGAAGGTAGTTTTGACCCCGATGGCACGGCTGATGCTGCTGCGCCTAGTCCAGCAAGCCCACCACTGGCAGACGGGTGACCCATTCGATTTTTCGACGAAGATGAAAGTGATAAGCGCTTCGCAAGGCTCTTATCAGCCATTTTGGCACCTTACGCTGACCTCTTGAAGGTAAATGATAAATAGAAACAGGCGCTGGCCGTCACGGTTTGTTTATAAATATTTGCCACGATACTCAAACAATGTGTGCAAGTGTGTGCATTCGTCGCACAGCTGATTGAGCGATGTCACAAATATAATCGCAGGATGCTAAATCGGGAACAAAGCTGTCACCTAGATGCGTCAGCTTGCCCGCTACAGTAGTGAAAAATCGATTTTCAAATTGAATTTTGTGTTATCTTCTAGCACATCTTGCAGCACACTTTTACTTTCTGAAACTGTAATGAGAACTTATTTCACTAGTAATACGGGAATTTTCCAGATATTTGCACACAAAAACAACAATTAACTAACAAATTGTTGCACTGAATACTTTGCTGACGCCTTTCTACAGAACTGCAACCGATGGTACATTGACAGATGGCAACATGAACGATGGCGTCGTTTGAAGGAAGGGGCAAGGTATACATAAAGCCACACAGAAAAAAAAAGTTGTTGAATATTACATCCAAACAGCTGCACAGAGGTCATTCCGCCGGTTGTGTAATATTATAATATTACACAACCGGCGGAATGACCTCTGTGCAGCTGTTTGGATGTAATATATAACATATAACGTATACGTTGTACGATGTACATCGATTTTGCGAACAAAATTACATCTATGGATGTAATATTGTATCTGCTTTTTGCTATTACATCATTATTTCATACATCAGCTTAAATTACGTTGATCGATATTACATTTTTTTTGCTGTGCAGTAAAAGCAACAATCAATACGAAACTAACGAACGAAAAACAAGATCGACGGAAAACAAATCAAAGGAAAAAAATCAGAGATGTCCCATTTTTTTAATTACTTGATTAACAACTAATCGATTATTTTTTGTTTGCTGTGCTGTAATGTTTCCATAAATGAGAGCTCAGCACATGTTTGAAACGATGGGTGATGATCCTCTGGCATGATATATTGCTAAATTAGACTTCTGTGCAAAAAATAATTGCACAGTAATATTTTCGCAATGCCAGAAAATTTAAAAATCGACTTATTTGAAAGCAGTATCAGCTTTAGAACATTACTAGCAAGCTACACTGTTGAATTAAAGCTCTAGAAAGCATTAAGAAGCTCCATATTTAACTTTTATGACCAGTGCGAAAATATTACCAACAATATTACTGTGTTCTTATTTTTAGCGCAGAAGTCTAATCAGGTGTGAAATCCGCAATAACCGATTACAAATATTTTACTTTTCGGTTCGTTAATCGATTATTCGAATGAAAATCGGCCATCACTAGATGAATGTGAAACGTCATTGCAAATATAAGGACCAGAGAGAATAGGTAGAGAGGCGAAGAGTGAAAAACCGTGGAAACGGCAGCACTCTTTTTATTATGATTCCATCCTACAAGTTCTGGCAACTGTTTCTGAAGGGCACACTTCAAGTGACTTTTTTCAACCATCTATTTGTGTTGTTTTTACCCGCGTCAGAATTGTTTTTTTATCGTTATTAAAATTTAATGATTGCTGATAATGAAGTGCGTTGCGAGTTTTTGTAAAAACCAGTATGTGAGTGGATACAAAAACATAACTTTCTTTCGATTTCCGAAAAATGAGGAAAACAGGCAGAAGTGGATTCAGTTCTGTAGGCTGCCGGACGATTACATCATTACTGATAACAGCAGGCTCTGCAGCGTAAGACATTGTCTAGTTTTGAGATTGATTTTGCAATAATAATAATAATATTTCCAGCTTCATTTCAACTACGATGATCTGTATCGAATATCAGAAAACGGCAGACTAATGAGACTTCCAAACTCAGTTCCGATATTCGAATACGTTGCGAATTTGTGTTCGAATTCCAGTACCTGTGATTCGGTTTGATAACCAAATATTTTTATGATACAAACAAAAATATAACGCGTACCTATATTTTAACAGGACACCACCAGTGTAAACCAGTCGGTGTACATTACAAGTGCTTCCAGCGAGTCCCTGGGAACGACATTAACGGCATGCTACACGGAACGCTCGGGACCATCGAAATCGAAGACTACCGAAAAGTAATTATAATTAATTACTACCTGTTTAAATTCTAATATATATTTTACGCATTTCTTAGACTAGTCCGAACAGTACACCGCCTCAGACAACGTGACCTCCGGAAGAGTAAAACGATAAAAATGCTGCGGCAGAATTTGGCACGAATGAAGAAGCTCTCCGGCAACAAGGAGGATGCTGTCTCTAAGCTATTCAACCCGGATCAAGTGAAAAAGCTACAGAGAGGACAGAGGAGGGTTAAAAAATGGACTGATAAGACCATAACGGACAGTTTTGAATATCGCTTCGCATGTGGATCAAAAGGGTACAATTTCCTTCGCGATGAAAAGAACTTTCCAATGCCTTCAATTCGCTCGCAACAGGACTACTTGAAGAACCTTCATTTTGACACTGCAGTTTCAGCGGAGGTGTTTACCTTGATGGAATCGAAGGTAAACTGCATGTCATCCGCTGAAAGAGATTGCGGATTGATAGCGGACGAAATGTCGATCGACCCTAGTAGGACCTATTGTTGCAACAACAAAAAATACTTTGGCGATATCACCATTCCCGGACAACATGGAAAAGCCACCCACGCACTTGTGTTTATGCTGGTGGGTATTTCAAGTCGGTGGAAACAAATAGTGGCGTATGAGTTCACCGGAAATTCAGTACCAGAAGGGTTCATGAAAGCTACAATGATTGACATTATCAGGAGAGCGGAACAGATTGGATTGAAGGTTCACTTTGCAACGTCTGACTGTGGCCCGAACAATGTTCGAATGTGGAATGACTTCGGCTTGAATCATTCGAAGGATCAAGCACTAAGTAGCTCTCCTTTGAAGCATCCTATCGACGACGAACGGACCTTTGAGCTTATACCGGATGCTGTTCACGTCTTCAAAAGCTGCGTCCAAGGATGGGTGAAAAATCGGTTTATATATCTGCCAGCGCATATCGTTAAGGAAAACGATCTCGTTTCTGAAGTCGTTGATATTTTTCACTTGCAAGAATTGGTTAAGTTTGAAAAGGGTTAGCGCTTGAAGATGGCATCTCGATTGACTTGGAAAGAGGTAGATTTTTTAAATGGCAGTCGTCTTGACGCGATGAAAGTTTCCAATTCATACAAATTGGTGAATCACGATGTTGCTGCTCCTTTACGGTTCATGAGTGCTGAAACTGGGCAGAAGGAGCTTTTAACCACGGCTTTCTTCATAGAAACTACCTGGCGTTGGTTCAAACTTATGTCTTCACGTAGATCAGAATTGGCACTTTCCCTCCATAACATGGAAGCATATCGACAATCGATCAATTTTCTAACCTCGTTCAGGAAAATAATATTCGCATGCAAGGTTGGTGTTCGCAGAGCCTGGAAACCATGGCAAGCAGCAACAATCCTGTGTACGAATTCGATCCTCCGTTTACAAACGTACTTCCTGTTCGAACAGAAATACCCTTGCTTGTTCACCTCTCGTTTTACGCAAGATTGCGTCGAGAACGTTTTCTCGTTGATAAGGTTCAAACAGAAACGCCCAACCGCACTCCAGTTCAAAGACAACCTGAAACTGCTTTCCGTGTCCCAGTTTATGATGTCAATCCCCTCATCTTCATACGACCAAGATGATAGAAAGTGGCTAACCGACTTCACGACTAAAATCCGAACTCTTGACCAAACAGCAGATAGTAACAACAACGAACAAGATTACACACTATTTGAAATTGAATTTCCCATGACGATTTTTGACGATGAAACATTTGACAACTCGGAGAAGAACCAGATATACCATATTGCCGGATATATCGTTGGAAGTGTAGCTAAAAATTATAAAGTTTGTGACGACTGCTTCATGCCATGTAGGGGAATTTACGTATTCTCGTCAATCTAAGCAGCGTCCGAACTTCTATTAGCGATTTCTCAGCGTCACACACATACATGACAGGTTTTTTTGTTGACATTTATCTGCTGCTTGCTGTTCTACCAATTCCAATCGACAGAATTGATCAAAACGGGTTGAACATGTTTTTACAACGCTCCAAACTTCTCAGGTGAGAGCAGGGGTTGAAACAGTTGACGTTTTTTACTACACTCGCTTCGTTGTCGTGCGCGACAGTCTGTTTGTATTCGAACATTCATGCTCTACCGTCGCCTCTCTCACACAACACGAGCGGTAGAATAACATTCGAGCTAAAAGAAAATGATCAAAATAGCTATCATATGACATGTGTGATTTCGTTGTAATTCCTCAATTTGGTGTAAATCAAACCATTTCTGATCAGAAATATTATTACTAGGACATCATTGCTTGCTATTTTCAGAATTCACACAAGCACACCATCAGCAGCTCTTATTATGAGAAAAACTAAAATACATACATTCGTGACGGTCTTCGGCGACAGTGTCGTATGACAGAGCCTGTCATATGACATTTTAGTTTGGTACTGTACTATGATAGCTAGTTTTGCAAGTGTCGGAGGCAAAGACAGTCAATTATCACAGAAAATGTGTCGACTACCGTGACCGCTTACAAGACTGGGTGAGAGTGACTATTGTCGGCAGTCTCTTTTTCTTCGGCACCCTTTCCATTTGAACTGCGTGTTAACCAGCTGTTCTATTATCGGCAACTCGAAATCAGCCGTATTTTGTAGTATGTATATTTCATTTAAAGAAAAATATGGTATAAGAGGAATTCACAGTCGTAAAAATGTAATCAGATTGAAGCTGAAAAGGTAAGGAATCGGCTTAATACATTCAGCGAAGAGTTTTGATGGGAAAATACAGTGAAATAAACGTTTCGATTTCGGTTGCCGAAAACAGTCGATGGGTGCCGAAGCCATAATTTACCCTATAAGTGAATTCCCGTTTCTTAAACCATATACGAAGTACTCGATCCTGAAGGACTATACTGGTAATTCATTAATTTACGTCACTGAGCCTGTTTATATGTTCTTTGTGGCACTTGAAAGGATCTTTCGTGAAAACATTGAACAGTATTTTCAGATCAACAAAAACATTGCTATTAGGTTAACTGGTTTGATGAACTCATTGAATGTTTATTGTTTTGAAAATTGTCATGATATTCGATCAAAAATTATTGATAGGTTTGTTAGTTACAAATCGCGTTCGATCAAACACGATAGTCGTTCGATGGCCTTGTAAAATATTGAATGATTAATAAACACTTTGTACAGCACTAATAATTTAAATTTGTTCAGCAGATAAAAACTCGGTTGAAATTGAACCGAGTTCGGTACTATTTTCTAAGTGTGTATGCTTTTGCAAATTTTACAAAAAATTGATC